CCTGCTGACATGTCGCTTTTTTAGGAGCAGACTGGCAGAACAGAACTACCTGTTTTATTGTTGGTGTTCCATATGCTCTGGTCACAGAACTGTAGAATTCTAACATGAATGGAATTGGTTTGTTATGAAAAATTGAATGAAAAATAAGTGGTCACCTGGTGCACAATCCTGACTTATAAGATCTGTAAATATTACTGCTTATTGTTCCAATTTTTTTAAAATCTAAAAAGCCTCAAAATATTTGCAAATACTGATTCTTTTTTGGCTTATTTAAACAGCTTTTTAAAATGGTTTGCCAGGGTGCTACAGACTGTAGGTGGTGCTGGTAGCTTCTAAAGACATTAGTTGCATTCTGTGACTTCACATGAGTGACATCCACAAGAGAGGAGAAACTGTGATGCATTTCTTTAGCAGTGTTGGAACTTAGACTTGTATCTTGGGTGTTTTTAGGTTCTTTGGATGTAGTCTTGTATTTGTTGAATACAGCTATTAATGGTTTAAAAGCTGTAATATTTAACTTTATTCTAAATGGTATTCTTTCAAGCTAATTCCCAGCAGAGGTCTGAAGAATTTGTGAAAGGTGAATGGGGAAAAATTAAGAAAATGGAGCTTTAAACATATGTTTTGCTGCCTGCATGCGTCTGACAATTCTGCGTCTGATATTAGAAGAATACTTCACTCCTGTTAACTTCCAATCATGTATTAAGTTTTGCTTTCGGCTTCTCAGCAAAGCAGCAGCCTTTTTCTTTTCATGGAAAGTCTATATTACTGTTACTGAGAACTACCTGTGCTTTAATGGGGCAGAAACAGACTCAAGAGTTCAGAAATCACTGAAATACCGACTACCCTACCGGCTTGAAATATTTTTTTGTTGAATAGTATCCATGAACATGATGCAGCTGCAATATAGCACTTAACATTAAAATGGTAGCGAGCCAAAGAGTTTTTAAAGTAGATGTGCAGGGTGGTTTTCATTAAACACTTTAAGCTTGACTACATGAGCAGACAACTTTTCTAGAACTATCGCAGTTAAACCATTATAATTCTTTACAGAGAGGCACATAAGGAGACAGGCAGCTTCAATCTTCAGTATTCTGCTTTATCCCTACCTATTTGCTTGAATAATCAAAATTTCCATAGCCCATGAAATGCCCCAGTTATGTGGTCAGATAGGATACCCCTTTTAGGCATATGGATGGTACTCCACTAATATAGTAGGTTTCCATGTCTCCCAGTATTATCAGCTTGAAATTACCATTTTGGTGTTGAAGAGCATTTGAGAATGTGAGGGGGTACACCTTGTTAGTCAGTCTGTATAATCACACATAACCTGCTTAAAAATGAGATTGCAAGAAACTGAGAACTACTGTTGTGTTGGGGTAATCTAACTGAGGAGAAATGTTTTGCCCCTGAAAAGTGAGAATGCTTTACTCTGATACTGAGATCTTGGTAAAACTGACTGTAAAAGCTGCCAGTCCTCTCTAGAGGCATCTAGAAGGGTGCTTCCATAAGAGATAACTGCTTCATCAGCCTCCTTGCGGTTGTAACTAACCTGTGCACTGTTGCCGGTTGCAATACTGCATTGTACATGCAGAGGAGCAGGAAAAGTTGGGTTTTTTGTTTTATTTTGTTGGATTTTCTTTAAAAAATAACAACAAAAATAATAGCTTATGCTTTTCTAGACCTTTTTACATCTTGGAGAAAAGTTAACATTAGTATGAAGGAAGCTTCAAACAAGAAAGGAACTGTATAGAGAAAAGAACTTTTTGAAGGACAGCGATAGTAGACGCTTTCCTTCCCCTTCTTTCACATGATTTTAGTGCTTAATCTCTTGAAGTTACCTGCTGATTGTCTCCAGTTCTTGGTGAACACTTACTCCTCAGTATGCCTGATGGCAAAACCCATGTGTAGAAGAAGTAGTTTGAGGAGTCAACTCTGAAGAGCTCACAGTGGATAGAGAACACATTTATTAGAATATATCCTTTTTGGAAGGAACTATCTTAATAAAACAGATAAGTATACATTTATTTCCTCTCACCTGTGAAAGTCTTATCAGGAGTGTGAAGATGAGGTTAGCATAGCTTACAGATAGGTGAGGGCCAACAACAACACAACTGCATGATTTCCCAGCGTTACTGAAACACTGTGTTATTTAAAAAACCGTACAGGTTTATACATCAGTAAATTATCACTGCACTGAGGATCCAGAGCTTATACCGACAGAATGTGCTGTTCCTGAGCCTCTGCAGTTGTCTACTAATAGTCCACAGAAGGTAGGTGCTTTCTCAAAACTTAAATGTTTTAGTTATAAATCCTACTCCCAGAAATTTGCACATGAAGGTTATGTGGCTTGGTGAAGAGGTCCTCTGACCAGTGTCCTAGAAATTGAGGTTATAGTTGCTGCTTTAGCTGGCTGATCAATCTGCTGTCTGTGATTTCTGTGTACAACTTCAGAAGCCTCATGTTTCCTTGAAGCTGTTATTGTTTGTCTACAGTGCTGAGGGCTGTATAAAATGTGTGTTCTGCTTTGAGTACAATAACGTTTCAAGTGACAAGACTTTATGTAATGTCCTGAGAATTACAGGGGAAACTGAAGGTACTGGAAAACAAATTAGGTAGCGCACTGCCTGCTACCTTACACAGTTTTATTTTACACTCTGAGCATCTAAATCAGTAACATTTTACTACCTCCTTCAGTTTCTGTGGAAGGTGAGTTCAGTTTGGCCAACAGTTTGCTCTGAATTCAATTTCCTGAAGAAGACTTAAATTTTTCAGCTGTCAGCCTATTCCAAAAACTCAGCTGGCCTGGTCAGAATTGTTGTTACGCTGTAATGTCTGAGGGTGATAATGAGTTACCAAGATTAAATGATTCTAAAGAAAAGACAAAGAGCTCAACCAGTCCTGGGCCCCTCAGTTCAGGAAGGACAGGGAACTGCCTTAGAGAGCAGCCACAGAGGTGATGAAGGGAGTGGAACATCTCCCTCATGAGGAAAGGCTGAAGGAGCTGGGTCTCTGTAGCTTGGAGAAGAGGAGGCTGAGGGGTGACCTCATTAATGTTTATAAATATGTCAAGGGGGAGTGTCAGGAGGACAGAGCCAGGCTCTTCTCAGTGATGTCCAATGACAGGACAAGGGGCAATGGGTGCAAGCTGGAGCATAGGAGGTTCCACAAAAACATCAGGAAAAACTGTTTTTCACTGTGAGGGTGACAGAGCACAGGCTGCCCAGAGAGGTTGTGGAGTTCTCTCTGGAGGCTTTAAAAAACTACATGGACGTGTTCCTTCCTGTGTGACGTACTCTAGGTGTTCCTTCTTTGGCAGGGGGATTGGACTGGATGATCTTTCGAGGTCCCTTCCAACCCCTGACATTGTGTGATTCTGTGAAACTTAGGGCAGTGGAGTGGAATCTTGAGCTCAAAGTAAACCCTGTGACACACACACACATTGGCAGCAGTGGGCTAAGATCAGTATTGTTGTAGATGCACCTGTAACTGTATTTCAGAAGTCTGTGGACAGGAGCATACAGACGGTAGTATCCTGTCTGTTTAATCCTGAGAACCGTCTGAGGAACACCTTTGTATCACAAGAAGACTACTTCAAGGTATGTAGTGAAAGCAAAATTAAATCTCTAAAACATAGCTGACCTTCAGTTTGTTGACCTATAGGATACCATACAGATGAAGGGATGCATATTTGGAATGTCATTACGAATTATTTTTTTCTTTTATGTACTCTGAGATGTACAGATTTGGCTTTCAGCTGCTTAATGCTGGCAGTAAATGCTGAAATTGGATTTACTGGGTTTAATCAAGACTGCATAAAAAAATTGCTAAACGGTCAACTCATGGACATTAAGAGCTTCAGGCCGGGTAGTCCTTTCTCAGTGACAGATTGCTGAGAGGGCAGTGGGTTCCTCCTCAGTTTGGACAGAGAATGTTGCGCTTGAGTCTTGGTATAGTAGTCTTTACAGCAGCAAAATACCTACTGTGGATGGTGGTTCTTCATGCTTTATTTAAAATGTCTGTGCTTTGACCCGTAAACTGTTAAGTCTAGATTGGTAACTGATCATCATATTTTTGCAGATTTGTTCAGTATTTGTAGAATTGCAGTTTCTGATTATATTCCAAATGGTGTTTAATTTCTGTTGTTTATCAATGTTATGTTGAAGATTTTGCTTCCTTTTATTTTAAAAAAGGACAGGTGTGTGAACTAGGCATATGTACTCTGAAACAGGAATACAGAAGCTGTATTAATTGATTTTGAAGGGGGGGGTGAATAAGGTACAGAATGTCTTCAGACATTTGTCATGAAACTCCAGTCGGTTTATTGTCTAGAAAAAAAAAAATGCCCTGTCTTTTATCCTATCCCTTTCCAGGAGAGGAAGGTGCATCACTTCAGAAAAGGAAGAGCAGTACTCAAAAGTGTTTGATCAACAAGGACCCTAAAGTATCTAAATTCATTAACTTGATGGTACTACAGTTCAGTTTAGTGATATATGCAGGATAACCTTTTTCAAGAAGTTGTTTCAAGTTGAAGTTCGTGTTCTACCTGTTTCAATCCAGTTGGTTTTCCTTGAGTTGTTTGAAGTTGTAAGAGTTGACAGACTTACTAATTGTTTGCATGCTTCCTTTGGTAACTTAACTGGAATGTTAACAAGTTTATATGTAAAAGCACTCTTGGTTTGTTTGGTGCATGTAGATTTCTTTCTGAGTTTTAAGGTACAGTTTGCATGTTACACTTAGTTTTTCTTAAACCACAATTGAAATGACTAATACTGACCAGTTATCTCTTACAGTTTAAAAATGGAAGTAGTTATTTGCCCAAGAGGTTGTATTTTAAAACTGAGCTCTTAATCAGTGGAACAGAAGATCTCAAGCTGTAACTCAACTGAAGTCCTTTTAAATTTTGGCTATCTTTAGACTACCTAATCAATGTGGTTATGTTCGTTAATGACAATTTATGTACATGCAGTCTTGAGCATCACTGTTAGTTTTGGGAAAGTAATTAAGAGAATCCTAAAATTGCTGTATGTAACTTCAGATGCAAGAATGTAATTAGCTGTATTTGCTACTCAAGTTTATGCTTTTTTTTTAACTTGGGAAATTTTAGCAATACCTGTATGTTAAAATTGTGAGAAAATACTGCATTTAAAATATGCTTTTGTTATGTGATGCAAACTGTTAATCAAAGAATATCTGTAAGTCTATTTTAATAATTACGTAGATTTTAGTCGTGTCTTTTGAAACAATTGAAATAAATTTTTATTTTGACTTGACTTCCCAAACTTCCAGTCACATGCAATTTTAAGCTACTTTGAGAAAGATATACAGTATAATAAAGATTTGTTGAAGCTACTGAAGATTTTTCTAATATTTTTTAAAAATCAATATTAAAAAAATACATAATTTGGAGTTTTCTGATTATTGGATTTCTTTCCTTTGCAACTTTATGTACCTAAACAGTCTGCTCAGGCTGTTAAAGCTGTGATGGCAGTTTATTGATAAAGGTAATTGTTTCTTTGCAAATGCAGATTTCATTTTGCCTTAATCTTCTAGTTGGCTTGATTGCCCGGGGATGTATTTGAGGCTTTATGCTGTAGCTATAAGAAAACATGAAGTGCCTGCATGTAGTTCTCATTGAAAAGTCTCAACACCAAAAGAAGAAATTAAACAGAAGATACCTACATAGAGTGCATATTTTATGTTTATTTGACCAAGTGTTACCCATAGGACCATCTGGTGCGTGACTTGATTGTTTGGTAGGTTTGAAAATGTTGTGCTAGATAGGAACTGTTCTTACAAGCGTGCTGAGAATGAGCAGGCTTAGCACAGTGAAACGCATTGCCTAGGCCTGACGAGTGCCATTTATTTTCTCTTCCATTAGATCATGTGGTGGTGCTTTTGTTAGCAATTTCTCACCCATAGGAAACTGAAGTGTGTTTTTTTTTTTTTTATTCCCATCTGGGAGTTGTACATTTTTGTGGCATATGCCAGTAAAAGTAACAAGTTATAACTAAGAACATACATTTTTAATGTTCTTTTGAAGTACCCCATAAGCATAATGCAAAACAGTAGGTAAATCTCTTTTGTATTGCGTTCAGGAAGTTGAAACATCTGCTTGATATGGCTGTAGCTGAAGGCATTTTCAAAATAGGTGCACAATTGGAGATTCTCGCAAATTTGCACCTCGTGTATTATCAAATAAAGTGGACTGTGTTAACTAACTAGTAGGCAGTAGTGAGTTCTGCGGATCTGCCTTTGCTTACACAAAGTATACATGGTCTGTATGGGACCTAAAAGCATACAAGTCTTTAAATAGTGAGACAAGTTTTTGTCAAAACAGACAAAAGGAAACTATTTTAGACAACACATAAAAATGCCCTGCTTGTGTTTACCTGGTATTACAGAGCTATGACACTTGTTTGTTTTATGGTTCTTAGCTGAAGTGTCCAAGTTAAGGTGCTTGGTGCTGTGGCCTTTTTATACCCCTTTTACAAGCCTTGCCACCTGACAGAATCATTCTTGGAGACAGCCAGCCAGCCAGATGGTGTTCTTGGATCTCCATTAGAATGATTGTCTGGCACAGATGCTAATTCCTGTCAAAATTGAATGTGTTTTTTTTTTTTTCATTCTAGGGATTTGTGTGCTAAACCAAGATGCTAAGTTCTATCTTACATGAAGGTGATTTGATCCTTGAGCGCTGCAAAGAAAACAGAAAGATTTTCCTGTAACTGTATTTCACAGGGTTTTCTTTTGCATACCTTTCTTAAAAGTTCTCTAACAGGTATACACTCTGTGTTCCTTGTGGAAATTACTCGGTAGAACAGTATTTTAGGATAGATGTTGTATAATTTAGAAGCTGTAATGTCTGCCACATTCAATGTAGCTGAGAAAGTAAAAAAATTTTTTAAAATCCACAAAAGAGCATGTGCCGGAGCTTCAGGTGAAATATGCATTTCAAGAAAAAGCTTAAGTAGCTTTAAAGCCTAGATGGATTCTTACTTTATTCCTGCTCTAAAGTTTGGAGTGTACTTCACTTTAAATTTTCTTGAAGGAGGTGGGGAAACACGCTTTCACTGTAACTTTTTAAAGAAAGAAGGCACCAGCTGAGTGTACAAAGACCTTTGTGTTGCCCTGGTGACTGTTCTGGCTTTAGCTGCTGTGGATAAATTTAAAGGTTGTCTTCCAGTAACATGAACTTGTTTGTATGTTGTGTTCAAGACACATGAAAAAGGATTTTTCTTTCTTTTAGCTTAAGGTTGAGAGGCTCGTATTGAGGACAGGTTTTACATTTAAAAATGTTACTGTAAAATTCAGTGTCGGAGCTGAAAATAAGAAAGTATGTTTATCCATACCGTAACTGTTTTAGGACTAGCACCATAATGAAAATCACAAAAGCACTCTCAAAACCTCTGAATGTGTTGTCCAGTAAAGGTGCAAGCTGCAGTCAGTTGATCCCTTTCTGATGCCATGGAACGTTAAGAGATACTGCTTGTAAGACAGTAGCTGTGGGTCTGCAACATCCATCTCTTCTGGGGGAGGGAGATGTATTTGTAATTGTGCCCTTCAGACTTCTTGCTATTAACCTGTAATGACTGGTGGTATTGCAGTGTATTGGTTTGAACTATCAAGGAGGCTGCTTTTCTTTTCCCCTCTGCTGTTGAAGAGAAGTCTGATCTTATCCTCTATATGCTCTCTGTTGGAAATTTAGAAGACTAGTATTTGAGTAGTGCCTTTTTTTCCGCTAGAACAAACTTAACCAAGTGTTTCTCCCATTTTTTTTGTACTAGTTCTTTTAGTACACTATGAAGTGGGTGTTCAGGGAATTTTTAAATTTCCTGTTAAGTCCTACTTGAAAAATTTAGGACTAGAAACACCAGTTAATAGGGATCCTTCACTTATTTCACTGGGAAAAGATGATGTTTAGAACCAAAAATCATAGAATAGTAGAATAGTTTGGGTTCAAAGGTACTTCTAAAGGTTGAGTGTGTGTGTATGTGTCCCTGCAATTAATTAGAAGGCACGTTTTCAACTAGATCAGGTTGGTCAGAGCCCTGTGCAGCCTGATCTCGGATGTTTCTGGGGATGGGGCTTTGACCACCTTCACAGGCAACCAGTTCCCATGTGTTTCACCACCCTCCTTGTAAAAAATGTCTTCCTCATATCTAGCCTAAATCTGCTCTTTCAGTTTAAAACTGTTACCCTTGTCCTATAACAACAGACCCTGTTAAGGAGTTTGTCCCCACCTTTCTTAAGAGCCCCCTTTAAGTATTGAAATGCTGCAGCAAGGCCTCCTCAGAGCCTTCTCGGCTGAACAACCTGAGCTCTCTCAGCATTTCTTCAGCGGAGAGGTGTTCCAGTCCTCTGATGATTTTTGTGGCCCTCTGGACCTGCTCCAACAGATTCGTCCCTCTCCTGTGCTGAGGACTCCAGAGCTGGATGCAGTACCAGAGGTGGGTCTCGGCAGAATAGAGGGTCAGGGCCATCTCCTTCAAAAAAAATGTTTTGGCCTGTAGCCGTTCATGGGTCACACATGGTTGAGCTGCGCAGCCATCCAATTCTTGATATAACATGGCTTTAAACTGAATCTAGAAAGCAGGTAAATTATTTAAGACAGGATTCACGGCCCCTGTGCATCGTAACAAGCAAACAAGATGCCTTTGAACAGGCACAAGGGATCCTACATGCGCACAGTAATCTGCTAGGAACGTGCTTGCAGTTGGGATGGGCACATCCAGTGCCATCTTTTAGGAGAGTATTAAAGCGTGGTAGTAAAACACATATTGCTCAGAGGGCATGTACTAATTTGTAGAATGATCTATGTTGGAAGGGACGTCTGACTGTAAATGTGGTACTGCTGAGTCCACCGCTAAACTATGTCCCTAAGCACTACCTCTATATGTCTTTTAAAATACCTCCAGAGGTGGTAACTCAACCACTTCTCTGGGCAGCATATTCCACTGTTGACAACCCTTTTGGTGAAGAAATTTTTCCTAATACCAAATTAAATCTCCCTGGCACAACGTCAGCCTATTTTGTCTTGTTGTATTGCTTGTTACTTGGGATAAGAGACTGATCCCCACCTTGCTACAGTCTCCTTTCAGGTATGGGGAGAGAGCAGTAAAGGTCTCCACTAGTCTTTTCTCCAGAGTGAACAACCCCAGTTCCCTTAGCTGCTGCACATAAGATGTGCTCTAGACCTTCACTAGCTTCAGCAAAGGCTTTTATGTCTGACTTGTAGTGAGAGGACCAAACCTGAACACAGTATTTGAGATGTGGCCTCACCAAGGGTTGGAGGAGATGAGAGCTTCCCTACTTCTGTCCACAGTATTTCTGATACAGGTCAGGAGGCCATTGGCCCCCTGAGCACACTGCTGGCTCATGTTCAGCTGGCTACTCACACCCCCAGGTCCTTCGCTGCTGGGCAGCTTTCCAGCTACTCGTCCCCAAGTCTGTAGTTGTGGTGACCCAAGGGTAGGACCCAGTACTTGGCCATGTTGAACTTCATATAGTTGGC